AACAAACCGGAAACAAAATGAGACCTACTATTACGAGAACCACTGAGTATTTTAATATAATATAGAACAACGGTAACTCCGAAAATAATTTTTTTTTATTATTTTCGGATTTACCGTTGTTTTACATTTGACCTACTATATAATGTTCAAGCGAGTCACATTAGAATATATTATTAAAATTGGGGACAATGGCGAGAGTTTGTATATAAGATAAACATCGACTGCTCATGTTTTAACGTGCTTATAAGACGACCCATCATATGAGTTCATTGGCGAAGTAATTTTAAAAATAACCATTGTCTAAGCCGAGAAAATCGAAGCTGAAGTTTATGTAAATGAGGACAATTTACAAATCTTTTATCCGATCGATTTACATACATTGATTAAACATTCCTTTCTTTGAATTTTCTTCTTCTCTGCTGTCGAAAATTCACTGCTGGAGAGCAACGATGCAAATCAATTCAAGTTTTGATATATTTCAGATTTGACAGTTCTTGGTCAACGAGCATGGCCAGATAACGAAATTGGATATACGCACTGTCATTGGCCAATACCCCATCACGTGTTCGGCCGTTTCACTCCCCTCTTTATTTTTTATTTTTTCTCCGCCTTATTTTAAATTTCGGATCTTTCTCGGTCGCCCTTCGGAGTATCATCGTGTAACATAAATTAATGTCAAAGATAACATAAATTATCGCGCCTGCGATAAGCTAATAATATATACCGCTTTCAACATTCAAAATAGCGCCCGATGAAAACATTTACATGTAATTAAAAGGTTAGTATAAATTTACACAAATAATTCGAGCGTGCTCCCTTGGTACCCTCTATAAACATTGTGCAGAGAGTATAGGACTGGTATAAATCGAGATCGATAAACATAATTTTGCACCCAGGTCGTCTCGCGTTTTTCTCCCCTGGCTTCCGGTAGAACTTTTATAGCTGCATGAGTTCGGATATTGAACAAGCGTGTATGTAATATACGGGAAAAACATAAAAAACTGGCAGTTTGCACGGGTACGAAATTTCGTATTTTAACTATAGAACAGGCCTTAAAATCTCTTTTCCAGGGTTGCCGTCTGACAAAATGTCCGGTGACGTTGAGTTTGACTCGGACATATGTCCGATGACCTTCAGTTCAGTTTTGACTCGGAAATAAGTCCGAATGACACAAATGAATAAACGATAAATGTTGTAAAGATATTAAACAATTTGTTTCTTTCATACTTATTTACAAGCCAAAATTAACTTGCTTGCCAGAACAGCAGTACTCTGATTTTCCATTTAACCGCATACAAGCCTCTAGTCCTGGGCTAGTGTACATTTTGACTTACGTCGGACAAAGCTACAGTTCGGTGGGTCACCATGCAATACACTCGGGTCGGACAAACAATAAACCTCAGTTTCACTTTGGTCGGACAGAATGTCCGGTGGTTTCCTCTCTACGTTGGACAATTTCACGAATGGGTCGGACAATGTCCGTGACCAACCGATATTTTAAGGCCTGTAGAATGTTTCTAATTGTCTTTCTTTCAAATTTCACACTTTGAATTTATAATAATGGTCAAAAATGGCAATAATGGCGAACACGACCATTTTCTTAAAAAGCATGCGGGCGAGGATGAGAAACTAATATACAACAAATAGTGCCTTACTATCAAGTTCTTTGTAGTTTTGCATGGCAATAAAATATATAATGCTAAATTGTTTGTGGTCTAAACATGCACGTAAATTTACGTAGAGTTTCCACAAACAATAGTATTATATTAATTACAGTAACTACCGTCGGTATATTGTTTTTGAAATTCGTAATGACCACATATTTTTTTACTCAGCTAGCAAAATTTGATTTCAAAATCCCACCCCAGTTTGCAGAATGTGGCATCGCCAACATTTCGACAAGATCTCAGGTGCGCTAAACCAGATTTCTGAGGGACAGGGCATTTGACATCATTAGATGCGCATCTGAAAAGTTGTAAAAATCACCCCGGGTGCAACTATATAACTGTAATTTCTTACTGCCCAAGTGCAGATTGAACCAATCTACTTTCTCCGTCTTTCTGTCTTACAACGCTACAAATACGAAATGTTATCAGAGTTCAATATAATTCTGAAAACTTGGTCTGACATTGTGTCAGACCAACCCGAGTTTTAGTCGGCCATGCATGATCGGACACTAATAATTATTCTCAAGAGGGATGTTGTCAGTGGTCACAGTGCTATAAATCAAAACCGTAACAACTACCAAAAGTCCAAAATATATGCATAATTGTTGACAAAATTACACAATATCAATGATAACTTACTCAGTAACAGTATATATAAATTATATAATTTAATAAAATATTTCTCTTAACACACGAGATGACATTGGGCCATTCCAGAGAACATCCATACCACCTCCACGGAGGAAATTGGAAGTTAACCCCCCCCCCCCTACCCTCTTCGGATGTCCTAATACATTTACTATTATCAGAAACAATTTTGTCTCCCCTCCCCCTCTGGACGGCAGAAATTTCCTCTGTGGGGGGAGTGTGGATCTTTTCTGGAACGACCAGGGCCGTAGCGAGGGGGTATTGGGGTGGTTAACCCCCCAACTTTTGTAGAATTAACATATTCGGAAAATCGGGTTGGTCATTCGGAAAATTACGGCAATAATAGTATAACAAAATTTTAGTTGTTTAAACAGAGAAAATATTATAAATGGTATTGTCAGTATAAACCATTGGTATAAACTGATTTACGAAATCACGGCATTTACATGGATAACGTAAAACAAATCGTAAATCGGTGAATGTTTTATTATTTCTCAGGGCCGTAGCAGTCGGGGGGAGGGGGTGGGGACTGGGGGCAGCAGCCCTTAAAATAATTTGCTGATAATCATTCTTTTTTCATAATCATGCACACCTTTATCATTTAAATAATATACCTTTGAAATACTGACAATAGACTAGAGGTGTGCATCGGATCGGATTGGACGTTTATAATCCGACAATTGCCTAATGTTTAAAATCCGATCCGATCCGAAATTGTCTAATCCCAATCCGTTCCGATCCGAGTTTTGAAAAAGAATTCCTATCCGATCCGATCCGATCCGAAGAATTCTTTAATAAAATAAATTTCTCATTCAAGTTGAAATATGTAACCAAATAAATATAAAAGCAAGAAATACATGTCAAGAAGCTGACAAAGTGACGTCCAATTGAAGTATCAAACAATCGCGAATAATGCACCGACAACCGCGATGATACTTCGATAAATGCATGGATAATTATTTCTTGCGATAATGCATGGATAATTAATTCATTTTATTTCGGATATCGAAGTCCGATCCGATCCGACTATACGAAACAACTTTATCAATCCGATCCGAAATTAATATTTTGGTTCCGAAATCCGAACGAATCCGATCGGATCGGATTCGGATCGGATTTGCACATCTCTACAATAGACCTTTCCCCTTTTGAGTGAAATTTTGATCTAGACAAGTCTGGACAAAAAATTCATCACAGCTTGAAAGAGCATCACAAAATTAGTAATATTCCGAAGTTTCGTTGCGAAATGTTGTAAAATGCGGATAATATAGCCTTGTGAAGTTTGCCGTTTTTCAGTCATTTTGCATTACAAACGGGAAATTAATAATCAGAAGATCAAACTGATTACCAATTTCCCATTTGTAATACAAAATGACTGAAAAGCGGCAAACTTCGCAAGGCTATATTATCCGCATTTTACAACATTTCGCAACGAAAATTCGGAATATTACTAATTTTGTGATGCTCTTTCAAGTTGTGATGATTTTCCAGGCTTGTCTAGATCAAAATTTCACTCATAAGGGGAAAGGTCTATTGATTAATTTTAAGCAGCTACATTATCCATGACAAACCGCAAAGAATCATATTAACCATACTCTTTCCTGCAATATATAGCTAATTAAATACGCCTTCGCCCATTTAGTTCTACTAAATTGTAAGCAAATTGTAAATTTCGACATACTAAAACTCTATTAACAACTCGAACCGACTTGACCACGTAGCTCAGTTGGCATAGCACTGGACTAGTATCCCAAATGTCGCGGGTTCGACTCCTACCGTGGCCAAGCAAACTTTTCAGCTTGCCCGCTGTGGATGCATACTCAGAGTAACATCACAAACATCATACTAAAACTCTGTTTTCTGACCATCAGAATTCTGTCAAAACTTCCCCACCCAAAGTCCAGGAAATGCCATTTTAGAGAATCTAAATTTAAAAATTTCCCCGGGCCTTCGGCCCTCGTTCCCAGCCCCCAATAAAAAATGCTTCCTGCGGCACTGCATGCTTCTGTAATATGTCTTTGCGTAAGCTATGTGTATTTTTGTTTGCAAATTGCATCTTCATTTTCCGAATAGCAAACACCTTCGTGGCTTCGTATGCCATGAAATGTTCGGAAATTTTTTTCGTCATTCGGAAATTTTTGGCCTACACCCCCCAACTATACATGCTAGCTACGCCCTGGGAACGACCCATTGTTATTGTGTGGATTGGGACAAAGTCAGATTCTGTGATTGTCTAGCAAACAGAATCCTTGTTTGCATGTGTCAAAGATTACAGATTTTGTTAAAAAGATTTGCAAGAATAATAAAGAAGGAAATATTCAAATTGATGAGACAAAACGGTCGGCCATATTAAATGTCCATGCAGAGTAATCAGTAGACGGCCATATCACCATTTTGCTCGGCCAATGGCCGGTGGCCGACCGTTATATTGATCCCTGAATGTTATTAAAACATCCCTAATCTCTGCCTAATCCTACAACACGATTTCTCCAATTTCATATGTCATTTTTTGTGTCTAGGTGTATGGTACTAGCCTTAATTAGAGCGGCTCTGTGTTTAACCCATGACTTGCAATGCGCCCTACTTTAATATTATTTTACTCTGTCTAACAGCAGACAATTTTACTCGTCAAGGGGAGAGCGCTGGTGGTTATAATGGTTAATGGTCTTCCCACATCACTGACTCATGCACTTAAATTAACTGACCCATGCAAGTGCACATTTATGCACCTATCCAATATGTTAGGCCGGCTGGGGGGGGGGGGAGGCGGGGCAAGATTTGATGAGAAAGTATATCCTGTGAGTGGGGAATTTGACAATCAGTACAGTCTCGGGGCAGGGGTATTTGACAAATTTTAAAAATTGTTGTTATTTTGCATATATAATGAGCAGGGACACAGTGGGATCTCCAGAACATCTGGGATAAATTTTGCCACCAAATCATGTGTCGTCAGTTCTGGAACATGGCAGGGAATACTGAATATGATATAAATTAACTGTTGATTTTTCTCATTTTAATATTCATGAATTGTACTTCTCTTGAAGCAATATAAATAATAGAATACGAACATTTATTTGTCAAGATGTGGATATTATGATATTAACCACTTTGTTTAATTTATTTCAAAAATTAAATTGTATTTATGTCATAGACGGATTTTCATATTTTTACTGGGGTGGTGCCAGAAATTTTAGGGGGGTGAGCTGTGAGCAGGTGACTGAAGCAACACAAAGTGTCACCAAACCCCAGTAAAGGTCTATATTCTAGGGGTGGAGCACTAGAGCCACGAGGGGGGAGTCTTAGGAGAGCAGAAAACAAAGTTTGAAAAAAATCATGATTTCCAGCTTCGAAAAAAAGTTTTTTGAAGAGTGTCATATCAATGGATTTGGCATGTCCGATTGTCTGTTGAGACTTGAGAGAGTTAAAGTTAAATGAACCTGTAAAAGTGTAAACCCAATAGGCCAATACACAATATGCTTTTACTTTTATAAAGTCATTAACATTGTATGTGTCGTTTGAATCTGAGTACAATTTATGATGCAACTCTGATGTAAATAATATTTGGGGCGTAAAGATCTAGGCAAGTCTATTTCCTAAAAGAATTAAAAACTAAAAATAATGTTCGTAAAAATTCCAAACGTTCCTTGCAAGCAAGCTATTTGCATGACAATTGCACTACAAACTTTATTCAGGGGAGATAATAGAGTTTCAAAACTTTACAATTGCTCCAATAAACCAGTGAATGCAAGCGAGGAGCGATTAGTTTCACAGTGTTGCACTGTCTTTTTCTATTTGAGCAGGGGCACCGGAAGCAACATGAAGCGGCGGGGGCAGCCATTTAAAAAGGGCACTTACTCTTGACCCTTGGGGGGGGGGGCAATGTTCGTTAACATTTTGCTGAATAATGGATATTTCATTAATTGTAGCTAATACAGTTAGGGGCCGACCATTTAACTTTTGAGGGGGGGGGAGGGTGATTTACTGCTCGCAGAGAATTTTTTTCTGGGATCGTTATGTGCAAGTTTTTTTTTCTGTCCCAACACCATGTACGATTTTTCTTTTATCACTCTCTCTTTCGCAGCATTTTTTTTTCAATAGCTTATACTATTTAGATTCTTTAATTATATAGTTAACGTTGAGTTTTCTAGCTTCATGCATTGCTTGGCCTCTTTTAAGGCAGGGCCGTAGAAAGCTCTTTTCGATTGGGGGGGGGAGGCGGAAAGCGAGGCCGACGACCCGAGGTAATTTTTAAATTTAGAGTCTCTGAAATGCCATTTCCTGGACTTTGGCGGAAGATTTGACAGAATTCTGATGGTCAGAAAACAGCGTTTTAGTATGTTGAAATTTACAATTTAGTAGTACTAAATGGGCGAAGGCGTATTTAATTAACTATATATCGGATAAGTTGCAGGAAAGTATGAGTAATATCTTCATTCTTTGCAGTTTGTTATGGACTAAATGATAAAGGTCTGCATGATTTTGAAAAAAGAATGATCATTAGCATTTGGGGG